TAAATAGCTGACCAAAAGTCACATGTATGGCTATATATACTCTTGTTAACCAAAAATATACTATCTAAAATATCTAATAAAAATCTGCCTTCATGTGATATTGCAAAGGTTAAAAAAAAAAAAGAATAATAACTATATAGAGATTATATAAAAATATTACTATTTGTAAAAATACAAATAAAAATAAAAATTATATGCAAGAATAAAAGCTTAAACATATTTATTTGTGATTTAAATCTACTAAAGTAGTCAAAGACTCATCTAAATTATTATAGATGGAATAAAGATTAATGTAATACTATATTTAATCTAGTATATATACTAGATACTAATTTTTCTATAAGCTTGGCCTATAGAAGAGCAATTATCTAAGTAGAAATATAATTGATTTGCTATTCTATATATACAAAAATAAGTGTACTTTGCAGAAACCTGAATTTTTTAACAATATAATTATTATATATATATATATATTTCTTTTTTTTTATGAATTTGCTGTATACATAATAAAATAAGTTACAGATTTGTATCAAGATGAAAATAATTCTAACTATCTATTATATCTTGTATCACTACCTAAGTATAGCAAATCACCTCTTAATTTTCTGTTTATAAACTAATTTAAGTCTAGCTAAAATTAGTTATAGAAGAGGAAAGAGAAGATCTAAATTATTATATTAAAATAATATAATTTTAATATTAAAATAGGTCTATATAAAATAGCGCACCTGCACTGTAGTGCACTTTCTAATTTACTAATAATATTATTGCCATATATTATGTGGTATTATAAGCAAATTAAACAAATATATATAACAAACATCTAGCAAAATTTGTATAATATATAACTGTCTAAGTATAATATTATTTACTTACATGCTTTTAAATACAATAATAGTAACTACCCTAGTATAACTAATCTAAAAAATTCAAATACCAATAACAAAATTTTTTTAAGTTATGTAGAAGCGAGTTTACTTATTTGTATGAGTAATACAAACCAAAAAAAGAAATTAAATCAAAGTATGTAAAGATAGAAGTTTAACGTTATATTATTAATATTAAAGGCTATAATAATAGAATATTGCTTATTAAATATAAAAATATTATTCCAGCATTTTTAATTAGTGTACCAAGGTTGATTCATCTGAAACAGTCAAATTTTGTGCACTCTGATTGGCATTTTCTTTTTAAAGGTTAACATTACTCAAGCAAATAAGTGTATGCTAGTAAAATTAGAGCATTATAATAATGGCTAACTTTATCAAAAATCTATCTAACTCTAATCCAGCCATCTTGTGTTTATAACTGTTCAATTTATCTAAAACAAAATACGATTATATGCAGAGTTGTTAGTAGTAACTTACTACGTATAAATTATCAAAGTTATATAAGTTAAACTTTTGTTTAGTGTTGAGATTAAAAAAACCCAGATAAAATTTAACAGTAACTTAATACAATTTGATAACTTGACAAAATAAGATAAAAATGTGATACCCAAATACAAATTTTTTAATAAAAATATACTAAAAATAAATTTAAGTAAGGTATTCTAACCCAAATTAGTTCAACAGCACCTGACTTTAGATAATTCTTGAATTTAAATGATTATTATAATTATATTAGCCTTTGAACAATCAGCTGTTTAAATCAATTTACTTATTAAACTATAAGCAATACTGAACAATGCAGTCTATATATCAACTATTCTGATATTACAAATTATGATTTGCAGTTTTTTTGATAATGACTAACCTTATCACATTTATTACAATGCCTTTTCTGTTTTTTATGACTCTTTTGTTCACATGTTGATTTGAAATGTTTAGTTCTAACTGGTTCACCTTTTTCATGCCTTTTCTTAAAATTTTGCAATACAAATTCTCTATTTTTTTAATCACTATTGGTTTCATCCTCAGATGAGTTTTTAGATAATTCATCAACATTGTCTGTAAATTCTTTTAATAGGTTGATAAGTAGTCATGAGTTTGATCAGCTTGTTAAAGCTTTATTAAGAGCCTTTTTATAAGCATTATATAATTCTCTATAAATTTTTCTTTGCTGAAGAATAGTAAGACTCTCTTCAAGAAAATTATGACTATTTTGATTAAATGCATATAGATAAGTGATAGAATAAGCCATTTCTTCAATAAATGTTTCCTTATAAAATTTATCTGCCTTCAAAAGATTCTTTAGAAATGTCAACATTATCATAGTACTAGTGAGAAGAAATTAGATGAATATGAAATTTGGTATTATCTGTCATAAGCATTATATAAAAATAATGTTTACAAACAATGCTTTACTGAATAGTCATTAGACATGAACATATATACGACTGATTTTTTAATAATACAATATAATGTTTTGTGGTAATAGAATTATCAACATTTACAGACTATATTTTGATTGTATTATTCAATCCTCCTATCAAATAAATAAGCTTCTTTAGCAGTATTTACTATATATTTAATGCTGATACATTATGAATTTCTATTTCTTAATTATTACTGCAAAGTTTTTATAGTTGTAATAAAATCATTAAATTATTTATAAAATAAAGCATGGATTAGAGTTGTTAACTTATAGCAATTTATTTAAAAGTTATCAGTAAGTAATTATATAAGCTACTATATAATTTACTAGTAAGTTTTATACTAGTAACTTATCATCGCATATATAGTTACTATTAACAACTCTAATGTTACCAAAAATTCTAAATATTTATCTCGATATCATTATTTAGAAGCTTAATAGCTTTATAATAAACTGCCTGATTGATTTTATCACATTGTTTTTGTAACATTATAAGTGTAAGAATTCTTTCAAGACACTTATCAAATTTTTTTAAATAAGAAATTCATTTTTCTTGACTTCTAATGCAAGAGATTGCTAATTTTCAAAAATTATATTTCTCTTTTTTATCTTGCAAGTCCAAAAGTCAATGAATTTTACTTATTAATTTATATAAAAAAATGTTTGAGCTGTATAATAACAACTTTAAATATTCATTAATATATTCTATTTTTGAAGTTAAGATTATGCTGCTAGTAAATTTAAATTATATAAAACAATAGGCCCAATAGGCCTTGTTGTGATATAATACTTCTAAATATGAACTAGCACCAATAAAATTTTGACAGATATTTTCACAGTTGGTACTTTTTTTTAGTTACTTCTATCAGTTGCTTTGTTAGTAAAATGCTTATCAACACTTTAGTTTTGTTTAGTTTTTTTTTTTTTAATATTAAGGTGATTACTTTGGGGTCTGGCACATTTTATTAAACTTTGGATCAAATGCCAGGGCAACTACATGGGCTACCTCTGACTTTGTTACATTAACAAGGATACATTCTAGCCATATATACAACTTTTGGTTGTCTATTTAAGCAGTCTTGCATATGTAACCTATATGAATTATACTAGATACCATACCTGTAACCCACTATTACTTGAGTTATCTAATTAAACTCTCTGATTAATTTAGTGCTATCGGAATATTCTCTCCAAAAGAAACTGCTGTGTAAGCCCTTTAGGACTTCAAAGCAAATATACACTACCATATAGAGGGTCCTTTATCCTTGTAGTAAACCTATCAGAGCGGTTTATATTCCACACATATATCACCTAGATTTTCAGTAACTTATGCCTAAACTGCAGCCAAATACTTGCAGCTTTTTACCTCTACTACCATTACCTACTCTGTGCTTTTGCAAAGTTTACCCAAACCCCAGCATCCACTTTATGGACTATTAACAGTACTTCGATGCCAACCATTGGCACCCTAAACTTCTAATTCAGATAGTCTGGAAGAGACCAGTGGGTGTTTCCTGATATTCCAAATGAATTCTTTTTCTTCAGTTAATCTGGTGGCCTAGTTGGTGTAGTGCTTGCCAAACACTCAGTTCTTGTTTAGTTTGCCTTCGGTATCTGGTTCTCAGATGATAATCCTTTACATAGCACTGTCAAAGATCTGTGCAATCTCTCTATTCGAGACTTCCCAAGTGAGCTTCTATATTCCCTGCTCCTTTAGATTTATTTGGCTGCTTCACTCAGGTTTTGTGTAATTTATACATTACACTACATTCTACAACCTCCCAATACGAGTTGGTGAGACCAAGATTATAGGTGCTGACCCAATTAATATGTTATACAGTTTTACCATAACATATTTTTGCAAATTCGAATTTTGTTACTAGTGGGATTCGAACTCTTGTCCTGTCACTTGGGGTGCGACAACTTACCAACTACGCTAAGTCACCATATCCTTGTTTTGTTTAGTTTTTTAGTTCTTCAGTTGATAATTTTTTATATAGTATTATCAAATCGATAAAGATTTGTATTATCTCTCTACTCAGGTTTTACTAAACAGGCTTCTGTATCTTTTAATTTGTTAGTTTTATCTCTTAAACCATCCAGTAGGCAAATTTGCCCGCTAGAATTTTTTTTAACAAGTTTTTTTAAAATTACTAAAAATTTTATTAAGGATATGTACCCCTATTATTAAGCTAAAATAAAAATTTGGCATATTGTTAATTGATATCTATTAAAATTTTAATTATATATATATTTATA